TATGGGCCCAACGAGGGTGGCATGGCGGGAGCACAACGCGCACAAAACTGGGTAACTGCACAACGCGGCATGTAAAGCTGACATGACAAGGCAAGAGCGCATCGTGCACACTATGAAGGAACTACACAGTACAGTACACAGCTGACGTGACCAAGGCTTTACAACTGATCAGGGCAGCAGGCAGGCAAGGAGGGGGGGGGGGAGCAGGGAGCACACACGTGCGGGAGGGAGCCACATCTAGTCAAGACCGGACACTCGGGGCGACCCCGTCGCCCAGCCCGACTAAGTCTTCCGTCGCCAGGGCGACCTGCTCAGCGATTTGGCCCTGCAAAGCGTTGGCCACTGCCGAGCGCAGGGACGAGCGCGCTGCGGGCCGCTCGGCCTCGGGCAATTCCCCTGCGGCGCGGCGCAGCCACGTCTCCACCTCTGCGCCCCAGCGGCCGTTGACATCGAGAACAAAGGGCACCAGGCCAGAAAATGGGTATCTACGGTGCTTCACTTTCTTTCTGCGCTGAAGGGATGCCTGATGCGGCCGCCCCGTCTGGGCCACGGCCACCGCGTCCACCAAGCTGATGTCGAGACACACCCGGCCGTGGAGGCCTCGATGGTAGACGACGTCCAGTGTGGCCGCGCCCTGTTCTTCCGTGCGCCACTCTGGGACGACCTGCTCCACCAGGGCGCGATGGCCCACCCCGCGCAACCAGAGCGCCACAGCATCTCGAATGGCGTTGTGGCGGCGCACTGGGCCACCTCCCCGGGGGCAGTTGAGCGCGCAAACGCAGCGGACGTCCACCGTGCGGCCACGCGCCGGGCCGGCCTGCGCCATCGCGCGAGTGGGCGCAGCCGGCCGGTTCTGGCACGTGCACTCGGACTGCAGCAGCGGCAAATGCATGCGCCTCTTGGCCGCAATGCAGAACGCGTGGTCGGCGAGGGGCGAAACCCCCTCGAAGTTATCCAACCAGGCGCCCGCTGAGCTGCCCGAGGCGCTATGCACCGCCGCCGCCGCCGTCGCCGGCAGCGCGGCCAAGAACGTCTTGGTGGCGTGGTCCCGTACATGCTGGGTGTACGTCTTCTGGTCCTTGCCCTTCCGCCCTTCCAAGAGGCCCTGCCAACGGTCACCCTGGGGGCGACGGCCTCCTGCCAACCGTCCCTGCTCCGCGTCCGCCGCCGAGAGGGCGCGGCCAAGGCCCGGCCACCGCCGCCAGAAGCCAACCGTTGTCGTCTCGCGGAGCTCCTGGGCAGCCGCGTGGATCCCGGCTTCCCAGGGCGCCAGGAGGGCAGCGGGGCCGCGCTGTTCGGCGCTGCCACAGCCCAAACCTCCGTCGCTGACCTTCATGAAGATCTGCTCTCGGGGGGCGGCCGTGACCCCCAGAAGGGCGTTGACGAAGGCGACCGCGCCGTCGTCCACCCGGCGGCCCCACGCCGCCGTGAGCGGAAGCGCGCGCTGGATGTGGACGCAGGCGCCCCTCGACCAGATCCGCATCAACTGCATGGAAGGCGTCAAAGGCAGACAGCCCGTGCGTGCGGAGCGTCAGGAGTTCCCGGAAGTAGCGGTCCTGCTTCTGGAGGAAGGCCTCGCCGCAGGGGAGTGGCATGGCGGCACCCGGGGCGACCCCGGCACCGCCAGCCGGCGCGAGGCCGCCCGCGTCGAGGTCCTCCGGGGCGGCAAAGTCCGTGAGCGGGACGTCCCGCCAGTCAACATCCACGTCGTGGTTTGTGTAGGCCAGAGTAGACCCCACCGCCTTGAGCTTCGGGACGCGGTACTGGGTGTACTCCGCGAACTCTGGCGGCAGGACAGCGTGAGGGTCCGGGGGCCAGATCTGGGTCTTGGACATCTTCAGCTTCATCCCATGGGCTTCGACGCGGGCTCGCCAGGCATCCAAGCCGCGGAACACCGCAGCCGCGGTGCCCACGAAGTACGTGTCGTCCAAGAACGCCAGGCAGTCCCCCTCGACGTCCACCGCGCGCACGGCCATGCGACCGATGCTGAGGTCATCCGCAGTGCCGACCGCGTAGAAGCCAGGGCTCATCGGGCAGCCCTGGTCGACGCCGCGGATCTGGTCGACCAGCTGGGCAGGTTGGGACCCGCCACCCGCCGCGTGGCGTGTGCGAGCAGGGAGCCAGGCCTCCGCCAGCGGCGCCAGGGCGGGCACCTTGGAGCGCACGGCCTCCTTAACGAGGTCACGGGGGATGTTGCTGAACGCATCCCCGAGGTCCACCGCCACCGCCCACTTTCCAGGGCTCGAGTTGGCCATCGTACAGGGGCGTCGGTGGAGGGCACCGCAGCCGTCCTTAGCCAGGCCGAACTGTTGGTCCCCCACCGCCGCCCGCATGTCCTTGTGATGGACCTTGGCCGCGCTGCGGCCCACCATGCGGCGGGTGACATTCCCGCAGCCCAAGACTCGCACGTCCCCAGGGGTGGCCATGGGGATGCCTGCGAGGCGCGCCGCGGGCTAGAGCTTCGGGAGGAAGGTCACCGATGGCCAGGCGCGCCAGCGTGTTGGCTACCGCCTCCGCTCCGTCTTCGTCGTGCTTGAGCGGAGCCCAGTGCTCGTAGCGTCCGCCTCCAGGTCCCGCACCGCCTCGGCGAGGGAAGCGACCAAACTGGCGCTTGAGGTGGTTGGCCACGCGGTGGTTTAGCTCTGCCGCGCCGGGGAGCTCGTGAGGGGGCGTGGCTGGCGGCGTCGCCACGTCGGCCCCCGCCGCGGGGGGCCCCCCCCCTGGCCCGCGCGGGGCGGCCCCAGTGCCAGGGGGAGGGCCCCATTCGCCTGGGCGAGGCGCCGCAGGCTGCTGGGCGGTGCTAAACTTCCGAACCACCGCCGCCGCGTCCGCCATATCACCCTGGGGCCACACTGCCGCTGCCGCCCGAGACATTTCGCCCGCTCGCGCGAGCTCAGTGACACGGCGAACGCGGGCCGCGACGTGGTCTTCGCGGCCCTTCGTGGTGACCGAGGTGCGCGTCTGGTCCTCCATGGAGAGCCAGGCGACATCCCATTGGCCGTCCTGGATCCACTGCAAACGCTCCTGGAGGCGTTCTCGTCGCGTCGTCGGGGTCGGGGTCGCGCTCTCGCTGAAGAGCAGCCCGTCCAGAGCTAAGAACACCTTCCACAAACGCGTCAGCGTGCGCGACGCCAGGTCGCCATCGCCCTGGCGGGCCTGCTCGATCGCCAGGGACAGCCGCACCTTGACGTGGCTAACCGCGGCGGCCATGCTGTCTGGGATCATGGCCGTGGCGGGCGCGCCCTGTAGCAGGATGCGGTCCCACCCGATGGTGCCCCACCAATCCAGGTTGACAAACCGAATCTCATGGTACGCATCTTCGTCGGCCACCTGGTCGTCCAGGTAGTCATCGTAGACGCCTGCTTCGAGCCCCCCGTCGTCGTCCGCGGCCGCGGGGGCGTCCAGGGGCGGCTGTAGGATGTCCGCGGGAGACGGTGCCTCCGCCTCGGCTGCCACCGGGGGGGGCCCACGGGAGCCTGGGCCGTACGCCCCTGGCGCGGCGGCGGCAGGGAGCCTCGGGGCGACCCCAGCACCCCCTGCCGCGCTGTCTCCCTGGGAGGGAGGAGTGGGCACCTGGCCTTCGACCGTCTCCAGCAGGGGCAAGGTGGGGCCACCTCGGGCCTCCAGGGCTGCTGTGAGGCGTTCCCTGTCGCCCTCGGGGAGCTGCGTGTAGCCCACCATCGCCGTCGCTGGTGGTAGGGGGCCATCTACGCAGGCCATGTGGAACCACTTCTTGCCCGCGTGAGCCTTGGAGCCCACGGGGCGCGTCACGGCGCCTGCCACGCGCCACTCGCCCGCCTCGAAGCCTCCCATGCAGCGGGTGCAGTGGGCCTTCTTGCCGCGGGTCGCCTGGGCGCTGACGCACCAGCGAGTGATACGTCCTCCCGTCATGCGGCGCCGTCGCTGCGCCGGCTGGCCCTCGCTGTCCCGCATGTGGACGTCGATGCTGCCGTCCACTGGGATGTCTACAGCGTTTGCGTCGGCCGGTGCGCGTGCAGCAGCGGAGGCGCACGGGGCGGCCCTGGCACCTCCGCTACCCGCTGCGGCTGCCAGCGCACCGCCTTCACCTCGGGCCGCCGCGTCGTTACTCCCAGCCACTCGAGCCCCTGCACCTGCGTCCGCAGCGCCGCCAGCGGCCGCCGCCATCCCGGGACCTCCCTTCAGGGCAAGGAAGAGCGTGCGTAACGGTAAGGGCACGAGAAAAGGAAGGGTGGCTGCCACCCGCGGTTTGAAGGCAGCAGTGGCCCCCCGCCCACAGGCTCCCCAGAGCCTTGGGGCGACTACTGCAACCTCTACTACTACCACCACCACCACCACCACCACCATTACTACTACTACTACTACTACTACTACTACTACTACTACTACTACTACTACTACTACTACTACTACTACTACTACTAACTACGACTACTACTACTACTACTCCTACTACTACTACTACTACTACTACTACTACTACTACTACTACTATTTCTTCTACTACTACTACTACTACTACTATTACTACTACTACTACTACTACTACTACTACTACTACTACTACTACTACTACTACTACTACTACTTCTGCTTATGCTTCTCTTCTACTTCTACTTCTACTTATAATTCTACTTATACTTCTACTTCTACATTTACGTTTACTTTTACTTATACTTCTACTTCTACTTCTACTTCTACTACTACTACTACTACTACTACTAACTTACTACTACTACTACTACGACTACGACCTACGACTACGACTACTACTAACTACTACTACTACTACTAACTACTAAGCGACTACTACTACTACTACTTACTACTACGACACTACTACTACTACTACTACTACTACTACTACTACTACTACTACTACTACTACTACACCACTACCACTACCACTACCACTACCCTACCACTACCACTACCACTACCACTACCACTACCACTACCGCTACCACTACCACTACCACTACCACTACCACTACCACTACCACTACCACTACCACTACCACTACCACTACTACTGCCACTCGTATTGTTACTGCCAGCTTCTTCCTTCTCCCCCTGGAGCTCCGTCGGGGAAGGAATTTTGGCTAGGGGGCCAAGCGACCGTGGGCCGTACCTCGTCAACCCGAAGAAGTACATACCCGGCACAAAGATGGTCTTCGCGGGCATCAAGAAAGAGAAGGATCCCCCCAGGGGGGAGGATCAAGCACAAGGTTCGAGAGGATCGCATATCATCGGCGATGTGTGTTGTGTGTCTTGGGCCTCCAAGTGTCTATCCGTCGCCGCCTTTTGAGTGCTTTCGAGGTTTCTGGTCAAAAACCCAGACTTGGACGCGTCCAGAGTCAGACTTGTTCCCGGCTTCTTGCGTTGGATTCTCGTTTTGGATAACGCACTGCGATCGTGCACTCATCCGCTTCCTTCCTCCTCTGTTCCCTCCGGCCTCTCACCCGCTCCTCTCTTGTTCTTCCTGCCGGCCTGCCTCTCACTGTGCTGTGCTGCCTGACCTTGCCACCCCTGGGGGGCCTGCGAACTGCGAACTGCGAAACTGTCGCCAGTTTCGAGGGCTGCTGGGGGGGCCAGCTGAGTGGGTACCGCACGTAGATTCATATCAGAACTCGCCACCCGCGAGGGCTGTGAATTGCAAGACTGCCGCCACTTTCGGGGGCTGCTGGGTGGTGGGCAACATCGTGGGCACCAGACGCAGATTCAGGTCAGACCTCGCCATCCCTGGGTGCTGCGAGCTGCGAAACTGTCGCCAGTTTCGAGGACTGCCTGGGGGTGCCAGCATAGTGGATACCAGGCGCAGACCTCGCCAGCCCTGGGGAGCTGCGATCTGCAGCAAACTGGGTACCAGGCGCAGATCCATATTAGTCTTTGCCACCCTTGGGGGGCATCGAAATTCGAAGCTGTCGCCACTTTCGAGGGACGGTGGGGACCAACATAGTGGGTACCAGGCGCAGATTCAGACTAAACCTCGCCAGCTGTGGGGGACTGCGAACAGCGTGCCTGTCGCCACTTTCGAGGGCTGCTGCGGGGGCCAGCATAGTGGGAAGTATGCGCAGATTCAGATCAGACCTCGCCATCCCTGGGGGCTGCAAGCTGCGAAACTTTCGCCGTTTTCGAGTGCTGCTGCGGGGGCCAGCGTAGTTGATACCAGGCGCAAGTCCAGATTCGACCTCCTTATTCTTGTCAGGCTGCGAAACGCGAGACCGTCGCCACTTTCGAGGGCTGCTGCGGGGGCCAGCGCAGTGGGTATCAGGCGCAGATGCAGACAAGACCTCGCCATCCTCGGGGTGCGCGAACAACAAAAGCGTTGCCGCTTTCGAATGCTGCTGGGGGGAGAAGCATGCGAGGTACCAGGCGCAAATTCAATTCATAACCCGCCAGCCCCAGGGTTTGCGAGCTGCGAAATTGTCGCCAATGTCGGTCGAGGGCTGTTTGAGGGCCAGCGTCGTGGGCACCTGGCGCATATTCAAATTAGGCCTTACCATCCTTGTGGGGCTGCGAACTGCGAAACCGTCGCCAGTTTCGACGGCTGTTGGGGGGGCCAGCGTAGAGGGTAAGAAGCGCAGATTTAGATTTGATCTCGCCATCCCTGGGGGTTGCGAATTGCGAAACAGTCGATTGGTTCGAGGGCTGCCAGAGGGGGGGCCGCATCGTGGGTATCGGGGGCAAATGTAGATTAGAACTTGCCTGTCCTGGGGTGCTGCGAACTGCGGAACTGTCGACACTTTCGAGGTGTGCTATGGGGGCCAACGTAGTGGGTACCATGCGCAGATTCAGATTTCACCTCGCCAGCTCCTGGGGGGGTTCGAACTGCGAGACGGTCGACGCTTTCGAGGGCTGCTGGGGGGGCTGTGGTGTGTATTTTTCACAGGTTCACATCAGACCTCGCCACAGCATCGTGGGTAACAGGCGCAGGTTGAGAGACCTTGCCGTCCCTGGGAGCTGCGAGCTGCGAAACTGTCGCCGCTTTCGAATGCTGGGGGGGGGCAGCAGAGTGGGTGCCAGGCGCGGATTCACATTAGACCTCGCCATCCCCGGGAGGTTGCGAGCAGCGAAACTGCCGCCAGTTTCGAGGGCTGTTGGGGGGCCAGCGTAGTGGGTACCACGCGCAGATCCAGATTAGACTTTGCCATCCTTGGGGGCTGCGAATTGCGAAACTACGAAAGCTGCTGGTCGGGGTAGCATAGTGGGTAGCGGGCGCAGATTCGGATTCGGCTTCGCCTTTCCCTGCGGTGCTGGGAACAGCGAAACTGTCGCCACTTTGGAGGGTTGCTGGGGAGTCTAGCGGAACGACGTCTTACGCAGACGCATGACGAGGTCCTGACGTCCACGGATCGCCAAGGACTGACCATGCACCGCGAAGTCATTGTCGACGCCGGCTTCAAAGACGAAAAGCAAATGGACGACCTCAGGCTGCATCTTTGCGCGATGTTGCCAAGGGCGACGACGGTGGACGACCTGCTGATGATGTGCGTCCCTGGTTTTGATTTCCTTGCCCGCGGGCCGCCGGCTGACCTGGTGGCGCGCCTGCGGGCTCCCGTGCTGAAGTGTGCAGGAACGAGGCGGAGAAACTGGCGGGCGAGCTAGGCTTCGCTTGCTTGTTGCACGGGCTCGAACGACCTGATCTTGTGGAACGCCGGAGTGACATTGCGCGGGCCGCGCTGCATGTCGAGCGCGCCATTGCAAGAACACGTTCGCAGTTTTTTCGCATTTCTCCTATTTCGTTGTCGTCCCCTTCCTCCTTCCACCGCTTCTTTGCTGCAGCCGCGCTTATTTACATTTCGTTTCGTTCGCGTCCTTTTCTTGCCTCCCGTTCCCAGACAATTTTTTCCTCGAGCTTGGGGTCTCAGTATTCGCATTCCGTTCGTTGTCCGCTGAGTCGTTCAACGCGCGCGCTTCCCATAAAGTTCGCGCAAATAATGACGGCGCCGACACTGCCGCTGTTCGTGCAAATGTGAGGCAGCTTTTTTTTTATCACTTGGTGCAAATTGGTTGGGTACGTCAGCGGGTATTTTCTTCGGGGGGAGGAGGAGAAGGAGGAGGAAGAAGAGGATCCAGTGCGCTTTTGTTGTTACTTTGGGTCATTCAGGTTCCTTCTAGGCCATAGTGGGCCTTTTGAAAAGGCGATTTGTAATCTGGAGGTTTCCAAGGGCCCCTGAAATGCAGAATGAGTGAGTATTCGAGACGAACGCTTTCGACAGTATCCTCAACCCATATGTATCTAGGGCAGGAAGAGGCATAATATGAAGAGGAGGAGGAGAAGGAAAATTATGCTAACGGAGTTCCCACATAAAGATGCTACGGGGTTCCATTGCTTCTTGTCTGCGCTCTGGTGGGGCCTCCCTGGAGGGGTGGGAGGGGCACGAAACCTGATGAATAATATGGTGCGCGAATACCCTGCCCGCTCTGGTGGGGCCTCCCTGGAGGGGTGGGATGTGCACGAAACCTGATAAATAATATGGTGTACGGATACCCTGCCCGCTCTGGTGGGGCCTCCCTGGAGGGATGGGTGGGGCACGACACCTGATAAACAACATGGTGTGCGAATGCCCTGCCCGCTCTGGTGGGGCCTCCCTGGAGGGGCGGGAACGGCACGAAACCTAATCATAAAATATGGCGTGCGAATACCCTGCCCGCTCTGGCGGGGCCTCCCTGGAGTGGCGGGAGGGGCACGAAACCTGATAAATAAAATGGTGTGCGAATGCCCTGCCCGCTCTGGTGGGGCCTCCCTGGAGGGGTGGGAGGTGCATGAAACCTGATAGATCATATGGTGTGCGAATACCCTGCTCGCTCTGGCGGGGCCTCCCTGGAATGTTGGGAGGGGCGCGAAACCTGATAAATAACATGGTGTGCGGATACCCTGCCCGCTCTGGTGGGGCCTCCCTGGAGGGGTGGGAGGGGCACGAAACCTGATAAATAATATGGTGTGCGAATACCCTGCCCGCTCTGGTGGGGCCTCCCTGGAGGGGTGGGAGGGGCACGAAACCAGATAAATAACATGGTGTGCGATACCCTGCTCGCTCAGGCGGGGCCTCCCTGGAGGGGTGGGAGGGGCACGAAACCTGATAAATAACATGGTGTGCGAATACCTTGCTTGCTCAGGCTGGGCCTCCCTGGAGGGGTGGGAGAGGCACGAACACTTGTAAATAACATGGTGTGCGAATACCCTGCTCGCTCAGGCGGGGCCTCCCTGGAGGGGTGGGATGGGCAGGATACCTGATAAATAACATGGTGTGCGAACACCCTTCCCGCTCTGGTGGGGCCTCCCTGGAGGGGTGGGAGGGGCACGAAACCTGATAAATAGCATGGTGTGCGAATACCCTGCTCGCTCAGGCGGGGCCTCCCTGGAGGGATGGGTGGGGCAGGAAACCTGATAAATATCATGGTGTGCGAATACCCTGCTCGCTCAGGCGGGGCCTCCCTGGAGGGGTGGGAGGGGCACGAAACCTGATAAATAACATGGTGTGCGAATACCCTGCTCGCTCAGGCGGGGCCTCCCTGGAGGGGTGGGAGGGGCGCGAAACCTGATAATAACATGGTGTGCGAATACCCTGCTCGCTCAGGCGGGGCCTCCCTGGAGGGGTGGGAGGGGCACGAAACCTGATAAATAACATGGTGTGCGAATACCCTGCTCGCTCAGGCGGGGCCTCCCTGGAGGGGTGGGAGGGGCACGAAACCTGATAAATAACATGGTGTGCGAATACCCTGCTCGCTCAGGCGGGGCCTCCCTGGAGAGGTGGGAGGGGCACGAAACCTTGATAAATAACATGGTGTGCGAATACCCTGCTCGCTCAGGCGGGGCCTCCCTGGAGGGGTGGGAGGGGCGCGAAACCTGATAAATAACATGGTGTGCGAATACCCTGCTCGCTCAGGCGGGGCCTCCCTGGAGGGGTGGGAGGGGCACGAAACCTGATAAATAACATGGTGTGAGGAAAGGCATGGTATGGTATGGGATGGTGGATGCATGGTATGGTATGGTAAGGTATGGTATGGAGTGGCATGGTATTGGTATGGTATGATACAGTATGGGATGGTGGAGGAAGCGGGAGGAGGAGGAGGAGGAGGAGGAGGAGGAGGAGGAGGAGGAGGAGAGGATGTTCTGGGAAAACAAGAACCCCACTCAAGATGTGGGGAACAAAGAAGTGGAGGAGGAGAAGGAAGAGGAGGTGGAGGAGGAGGAGAAGTGATGGCGCTTGGTGGTGACGGTGGCGGCAGCGGCGACGACTATGATGATGACGATGATGATGAAGATGATGATGATGATGATGATGATGACGATGCTGATGATGATGATGATGATGATGATGATGATGATGATGATGGTGGGGGTGCTTGTAATTGTGATGGTGGTGATGATGACGATGGCGATGTCGACGACGACGACGATGCTGGTGATGATGCACGAAATTGTGATACGGGCGATATGGATGATGGTAATGATGAAGAAGATGGTGGTGATGATGATAATTGTGATGATGGTGGCTGAGAGTATGGCTATGCTAAAGTAATGCGAGTGGTGATCATTATACG